TCCAGATTCGTCAACCAATGATCCATTCCAGTGTTCATTAACCAATCATTGCACTTATTATTCGAACCCCTGCTCGAATAGCCAGGTCTTCACTTTTTTGCGGAATACCATCAGAGATGGTGCTAGTCTAATGTCGGTAGGGTAGGTATCGGTTTTCGCTCTGGGTTGCTGATTGATCCATTTTCTATTCGGCCTATTATGGGAGGGGGGTCCTTCCCAAGCCCCCCCTTCCTGTCATTTTAGGCATTGCAGCTGTTTCACATGGGAATGGAGAAAGAGCGTCTCACCACCAACTGAGACCAAGGCACAATGATGCTGTGCTTGGTTGCTCTTCTCTTCCTAAGACACCAGAGCAATGGACATGAAAATGGAGGGAGGGCTGCTCACCACCGAGACCAAAGGACAATGATGCTGTGCCTAGCTTCTCTTCTCTCCCTAAGAGACCAGAGTAAAGGACATGAAAATGGAGGAAGGGCTGGGATAGAGGGAGGGCTTTTCACCACCAACTGAGACCAAATGACAATGATGTTGTGCCTGGTATCTCTTCTCTCCCTAAGAGATCAGAGCAATGGATATGAAAATGGAGGGAGGGCTTCTCACTACCAACTGAGACCAGACGTAGTGATGTTGTGCCTGGTTTCTCTTCTCTCCCAAAGAGGCCAGAGCAATGGATGTGAAAATGGAGGAAGGGCTTCTTCCCACCAACTGAGATCAAGCACAATGATGCTGTAGCTGGTTGCTCTCCTCTCTCTAAGAGTCCAGAGCAATGGACATAGGAATGGAGGAAGGGCTTCTCACCACCAAGTGAGACCAGGCACAATGATGTTCTGTCTGGCTGCTCTTCTCTCCCTAAGAGACCACAGCAGTGGCAAATGGAACAGAGCTTCTCACCATGGAAGAGAAAACTGAGATCTGTAACTGACTGTAGCTCCTTTGGACTAATGGACATTTTCATATCTTCAGCATCAGAACGTAGCTGCGGCATTGATCATATTAAGGCTGCAGTTGAATAATTTACCTGGGAGGAAATTCTGTTGACTTCAGTGTAACTTCAAGGGTACACGGAAGTCAACAGAATTGTAGTGCAGACTAACAGCAAGATTGTGCTGTTAGTCTGCACTCCATCTCTTAGAATCCATCTTTAGGATAACAGAAAGTAGGGGTTGGGATATTGTCAGCTAGCCAAATGTATCTCTTCACTTGCCTTCCTTTGTTTTTTCCCCCATATCATTCTTCCATGTAAATTGTTCTGCAGGTGAGAAACCTGCTCACTATTGTGTGACATTAAGGATGGTCCTAACTGAAGTATTTTTTCTGACCATGGATTTTGTCTTTATTCTTGTTCAGGCCACCCAGCTCCCCATTCTCTTCTGAGATGGGAAACACAATGGGGGTAGTGTAGGGAAAGAATTACATATTTTCTTTCACAAATAAAGCATCTTTTCAGGAGCAATTTCATCCCCTGTTGAATCATAACTGGATGTGCAAAGATCAAAATGGAAAATGGTTCCATGCAGCCTTTTGTGGTGACCTTTTCACGTCCTCCAGGGCTGAACCATTTTGTGTGGTGTCATCCATGGTAGACAATGAAAACGGCGTCAGTGACAAGCTTGCTTTGGAGGCATTCGTAAATGAATGCAAATGGAGTCGAGGTGGGGGAAGAAGTAGTCGCCGCACCATTTTTCTTCCAGACAAGAGCAATGAAAAGTCAGTCTCTATTCCATAAGAGCCTTGTCTCCTCGGTATCCTGTACTGTATCAATCTCTGACTTTCCCTATTTCATTAAAATTCTCAAGTGGTCAGCAGGGTTGCTCTGTAATGGAGTTAGCATTGGCTATCCATATGTTTTACTCCCGCACATCCATTTTGCCTGGGATGTTTTGTACAAATGGTTCAGCAAATATATCCATCAGCCCTTGAGGAATCTGGCATGCCTTTGACTGAGGCTTCACATCCCATGGGTAACAACTACAGCGTTCAATACAGTTTGGAAATCTACACATCAACTATCTTCCATTTTTTCAATATTCAAAAGAACTTTGCATGCGTGATTTTTGGTCCTTTATTTATCATGTCAGAAGCAAATTGAGGGTACAGTTATAATGCATTATAAAAAACAAACCAAGTTAAAAACTTGGCATTTTACTAGATTTTCTTTGGCCAGAAACTGGCCACTTGGAGTGCCTCTGGTGTCACTGTAAGAAGGTCCTCCATTGTGCATGTGGTAGGGCTCAGGTTGCATTGTAGTAAGTGGTTTGTGGTTTGCTCTTCTTCACACTCGCATGTCATGCACTCCACTTTGTGGCCCCTTTTCCTAAGGTTTGCTTTGCAGTTTGTGATACCAGAGCGTAGTCTGTTCAATGCCTTCTAAGTTGCTCAGTCTTCTGTGTGCCTAGGAGGGAGTCTTGCATCCAGGTTCTGAGTTCTAGCCTGCTACTTTAGGACTCTCACTTGCTGAAGTGTTCCTGCTCTTAGGAAGCTGTTTCTTGATTTAAGGCATGGGTATGCTGGCTGATATCCAAACAGAGGATGGCTCAACGATGCCAATTCTACTTCCTGATGGATGTCAGGTGGTGCAATACTGGCTAAACAGTATAATTTCTCCAGCAGTGTTGGGCATAGACATCCTGTGATAATGCGGCATGTCTCATTAAGAGCCACATCCACTGTTTTAACGTGGTGAGATGTGTTCCGCACTGGGCATGCATATTCATCAGCAGAGTTGCAAAGCGCAAAGGCAGATGTCTTCATTGTGTCTGGTTGTGATCCCCAGGTTGCATCAGTCAGATTTCATATGATGTTATTTCTAGCATCCAGTTTTGATTGATATTCAAGTAGAGTTTCTTATAAGTTAGACCACGGTCCAGAGTGACTCCCAAGTATTTGGGTGTGCTGCAATGCTCCAGTGGGATTCCTTCCCAGGTCATCCTCAGAGCTCAAGATGCTTGTCAGTTTTGGTCCTTATAACAGTCAATAGGATGGATATACCTGGGATTTGTAGTATGCAGGTGGACTAGAGATCTCTGGCACAGAATTCTAAATACCAAACAAAAACACAAGTCCCATAACACTTGAGAGTGGAATCAAAGTGCTATACTATCAAAGTGCAAATACTATCTGCCTTCATTTCGTACCCTTTCTTCATTTCCAATTTTGAGATGCAGAATTTCTTCTCCTTGCATTGAGATTTGCTTCTTTGCCATATTCATTTTCTCTACCATACCCATTTATTTATGCACCGAAAGGACATGTTTTTGTACACATATCCTCCTGAGTAAAGTATGTTTCTCACCATCTTTTGATTGCTGTTTAGCCACTTGTGTTTTGAAACTGTATATATTGTTCTGTGCATTCAGAAGGTACAGCAAGCTTTGCTAAAGTGTGAATTTCTGAAGCAAGGTGTGCTTTGCCTTGCCATAAACCTGGGAAAGTGTGAATTTGATAATTCCCATGAATACTTTTGAAAAGGCCATCTTTCCTCAGGCAAATCTAAGATATAAAGTGTTTTAGAAAAGATTTGCAACATATGTGTATTTTTCATAGAAAATAATGGTACTCTTGCACAAATCTTTTCTGAATCAAATTATGGATCATGAAGCCAGAAGATACTATGATGTCAAATGATGCTGGATATTTGCTTTGGGTTTGAGTCTGATGCAAGATGGTGAAACTATTTTGGGGATAGTATTGGATTATGGAGCTTGTTATTTACCTTGTTGTTTTCTCTTCCCATTTCCCATTGCAGATTAAAAATGGTCAACAAAGCTGCTACACACTTAAGAATAAAGATCTAGAGATTCCTTCCAAAGGTGTGATCTACTTGGAGCTGGAGGTCTTATTTAATCCTGTAAGTTGCATGTCTTATGTGGATCCAATATAATTTTGTAAGGAAGTGCTACTTTACCAAATCATAGGGGAAGAAGTTGAATTGTTTCAACATATTGTGGCTTGAAGTGAGCCACAGCTTCAGATGTCCACAAAAAAATAAAATAAAAAATGCTCTTTTATGAAATGCCGGGGGGCTCCTAAGTGTTTTGGGTTTCTGATTTTCTATTTTTCTTTTGCATTCTGGAATAACTGTATTTGGACATCCCTACATAACAAGCTTTCTTGGACCCTGATTTAAACATAGAATTCATTTATATTTCATAAATATATTTATTTAGCAAAGCACACCTTGCTTCAGAAATTCACACTTTAGCAAAGCTTGCTGTACCTTCTGAATGCACAGAACAATATATACAGTTTAAAAACACAAGTGGCTAAACAGAAATCAAAAGATGGTGAAACCCGCATTGTAAACCGCGTTGAGTCGCCGGTTAGGCTGAGAAACTGCGGTGTACAAGTAAAGTAAAGTAAATAAATAAATAAATAAATACTGGATTAAGTAAAGGTAAAGGTTGTCCCCTGACATTAAGTCAGTCATGTCTGACTCTGGGGTGTGGTGCTCATCTCCATTTCTAAGCTGAAGAGCCGGCATAGTCCATAGACACCTCCAAGGTCATGTGGCCGGCATGACTGCATGGAGCGCCGTTACCCTCCTGTCCGAGCGGTACCTATTGATCTACTCACATTTGCATGTTTTTGAACTGCTAGGTTGGCAGAATCTAGGGCTGACAGCGGAAGCTCACGTCGCACCCCAGAATCGAACCTGTGACCTTTCGGTCAACAAGCTCAGCAGTTCTGTGCTTTAACCCACTGCGCCACCGGGGACTCTAAATACTGGATTAGTGCACGAAATTCATTTCTACCATTCCTACCATTTCTTTCATATTTTCCTTTTCTTTTTAAGCATGAAACAGGAAGCCCCCTCCCCACACGAAAATCTGCTCAACATGAAAGCCCACTTTTGTGTACATCTGAACTTGCCTCCTTGCCTTGGAAAGAGAGTGCATGTGTGGCGGGGTGTGCAGACAGGCCTCACACACACTCCCTTTCCACCACACACGCACTCTCTTTCCAACGTAGGTGCATGTGTGGGTGGCGTGCAGGCAGGCCCAGAAAGCGCACACGCCTGCCAGTGCCTGCAGCTGAGCGCCTCTTACTGTAGAGTAGAAACAGCAGGTGCCAAATAACAAGAACGCATTCCGGGAAAGGGAGCCAGTGGGTGGGAAGCCCCCCCCCCCCACACACACACCATAAATGTCCGATTATTGGGGCCCCAAACCAAAAGCACCAAAAATAACCCTCCCAGTTTTGGGAGGCTCACAAAAAAAAACCCAGATTGGGGCCCCCAACAAAAGCTGGGACACAAAACGGGGCAAAGTGTACCCCGAAAACACAATCCTAATAAATACTATTACACATCACCAGGGGGTTGTTTTAAACAATATTTCGTAATAAATTTCTGCATGAAACAAAGCACACCTTGCTTGTTACACACATTGAACATGAGAAAGAAATAGTATCACTTTCTCAGCCATTTTGAGATTTTGAAATATTTCTCATTTCAGTTAATTTGCAGTTAAAGTGTAATAACAATGTTATAATTGTGTTGTGTGAACTTGTTGAGGTCCTTATCATACAATCAATCAACCATTAAATTGTGCTGGACAGGGTTACACTCCCCCTGAAGTCACAGGCCCGCAGTTTGGGAGTCCTCTTGGACTCATCGCTTACGCTTGAGGCTCAGGCGGCGGTGTCTGGGAGGGCTTTCGCACAACTGAGACTTGTGCGCCAACTGCGACCGTACCTCGCGAAGGCGGATCTGGCCGGAGTGGTCCATGCCTTGGTCACCTCCAGATTGGACTACTGCAATGCGCTCTACGTGGGGCTGCCCTTGAAGACGGCTCGGAAGCTCCAACTGGTCCAACGATCAGCAGCCAGGATGTTAACTGGGGCCCCTTACAGAGAGAGGTCAACCCTCCTGTTCAAGGAGCTCCACTGGCTGCCGTTTATATTCCGAGCCCAATTTAAGGTGCAGGTGCTTACCTACAAAGCCCTGAACGGTTTGGGACCAGCCTACCTGCGTGACCGCATTTCCATCTATGAACCCACACGCTCACTTCAGTCATCTGGAGAGGCCCTGCTCGTGATCCCACCTTTGTCACAAGCGTACTTGGTGGGGACGCGAGACAGGGCCTTTTCTGTGGTGGCCCCCTGACTCTGGAACACCCTCCCCAAAGACCTTAGACAGCCCCCTACATTGGCTGTCTTCAGAAAGAACCTGAAGACCTGGCTTTTCCGATGCGCCTTCCCAGATTAGGAAATCTCCACTACCAAGTCCCATAAGCACCTTACCAGAACCAATGATTGCTGCACATCGCACATCGCACTTGCCCTAGAAGCCTTATTTACACCCCTGTCACATCAGCACTTTTAATCTTTGTACCCTTACTCTGGCCCGGCCCAGTTTTATTGTGTTTTAGTGTATTGTGCCATTGTTTATTTTGCTTTACTTTGTTTTTAATTGTTTGATTTGCTTAGATTGTATTGTTATGTTTGTGTGTTGAGGCCTCGGCCTGTGTAAGCCGCATCGAATCCTTCGGGAGATGCTAGCGGGGTACAAATAAAGTTTAATAATAATAATAATAATAATAATAATAATAATTTCTATGGTTATGATATTTGTATTATCCTTTTTGTGACTATCTGCACATGCCTTTCTCCCATTCTAAATCATTTGAACAATGGTTTCTAACGGGGATTTTAAAAATACTGTTCATATTTAATCCTGTTTTAATGCTCATATATTTTTGTATATTTTAAATGGTTATGCTGATGCTTTTATGTTAAGCCACTTTGAGTCCCCTTTGGGGAGATAATGTGGGATATAAATCAATATAACAACAACAACAGCAACAACAACAAAAGTAGGCTGACCCTTGTACCAATGCATTTTTAAAGACTGTGATAGCAAAAGCAATATTAGCAAGACATATATAGCATTTAAGTGATATTTTAATGACAGATCTTGGAATACACACTAATACAATATGGTTCTTTTTAATATATATTCGTTCTCAGGTAAAAGCAAGCGTCAGAACCTTTTCTCCGCGTGAAAGACGGTTTCTGGAAGACAATCGCAAGTTTTCCAAGAAGGTATTTCACTTTCTCATTCTAATTTATATGCAGCCAACAGTAATTTATGCAGGTAGAGTATAGAAACTTTCCAACGTTTCAGTTTCCCAACAGTGGGAGAATAATTATGAACCTATCCTCATAGTTTGGGTGTAACAACAAACCATGGTGTGACATGATCGTAAACCTGAACTGGAATCACATTTTTATTTATTTCACCACTTAACTTGTCCTGTTCTTTTGAGAAGCTCATTGTGTTCATCCAGTCTTCTATTTAAATATGTCTTCTTCCAGATCCTATCGAGAAATGTCGATCGTGTGAAAAGAATCACCATGACAATATGGAACGCAATACAATTTATTCGAAGCTGCTTTCTTTGGGAGTCCCCCATAAGGAGTGTGATGGCATTTGTGGTAAGTGGGGGTTCTTCCCAATGGTTTTTGTGGTTAGGTAACAGCAAGTTGAATGTCCTTAGTAGTGATGGTCCATGTAGGTTTGCCTGGAGACAGTGGTGGCATGTAGAGCAAGCTTGATGTGCTGCTTCGTGAAATTATGGATTGATCATGTTCATGTCCACATATGGGACTCATCTATACTGCAGTGTAGACCCATGCCATGCAGTTCAGTACAGTTAAACTGCATTATATTGTTGTAGGATGGGTTCGTGAAATTTAGAGTTTCCAAAACACAATCTCTGAATCGCTGCACTCTGGATAGCCAGTGTCCCAGAAGCAAGCAAAATACGGCAGAGTTCTTTCACAGCAAAAACAAGCTTCAGAATGTCTATCAGCATAGTATAACTGCAAGCATCTGACATTATCTACACACTAGAAAACTTACGGATTCAGGTTTTCAACCAAAATGTACAGAGGCTTTAACCTTCACCATCGCAATATATGCAAATGTACAATCACTGGAACTGTGGCACAGCTGGCTGGGAGTCAGCTGCATTAAGATCACTATTAACCAAAAGGTCATGAGTTTGAAGCCAGCCCGGGTCGGAGTGAGCTTCTGACCAATTTGTGTACCTTTACAGCCTGAAAGACAGTTGCATCTGTCAAGTAGGAAATTTGGATATCGCTTATGTGGGGAGGCTAATTTACAAAGTCATAAAAATCTCCAGCAAGCATGCAAAGAATGAGGAAGTACTTCATCAGTGTCACAAATGGGCAGTGAAGCAATAGCTTCCCTGGTGGCCAGAATGCCCTCATGAAAAAGCTAGAATGTTAAATTGCCTCTGTGTATGTCTATATATGTTGTGTGTCTATGGAATTGAATGTTTAACATTCCAGCTGTTCTTGGGGGTTTTCTGGCCACCAAGGGAGCTGTTCCTTCACCGACCATTTGTGACACTGATGAAGTTCTTCCTCATTCTTTGCATGCTTGCTGGAGATTTTTATGGTCTCGTAAATTAGTTAAATTTGCCTCCCTGCATAAATGGTACCTAAATTTCTTACTTGACAGATACAACTGTCTTTTGGGCTGCAAAGGTCAACAGCAAGCTACACAAATTGGTCAGACGCTCACTCTGACCCAGGCTAGCTTCGAACTCGTGACCTTTCAGTCAGTAGTGATTTTAATGCAGCTGCGCCACAATCCCGGTGCACAATCATCTATTTATTTAACTGTATCCCACTTCTGGGTATGAGGGAACTATCGCAATCTCTTCTTCTCTTCCTCCATGACTAGGGCAGTGGCAGTTGGGATGAAAAGATGACGTCTTAACTGCTTCTGGGTAGAGGCATACTGGAGCTGGACCTGCCTCCTCATCTCTCCCTGTTATTATTTTTTATTTATTTATTTACAGCTTTTATATTCTGCCCTTCTCACCCCGCAGGGGACTCAAGGCGGATTACAGTGTGCACATATATGGCAAACATTCAATCCTATTTTTTGACATGCAAACATATACAGACATACACAGAGGCTTTTAACTTTTTCTGGCCGCCAGGGGAGCTGTCGCTTTCATTGTCCATCTGCGACGCTGATGAAGCACTTCCACATTCCCCGCATGCTTCCCTGCTGGAGTGCTTTGTTGGAGTCTTCTTTATGGCCTCATAAATTAGTTAATTTAGTTAATCAACTTATATCCCCATACCAAAAAAGGGAAATGCGAAAGACTGCTCAAACTTCCATACAGTGGTCCTTATTTCTCATGCCAGTAAGGTAATGCTCAAGATCCTGCAAGGAAGACTCCAGCAATACATGGAGCGAGAGTTGCCAGATGTACAAGCTGGGTTTAGAAAAGGCAGAGGAACGAGAGACCAAATTGCCAATATCCGCTGGATAATGGAGAAAGGCAGGGATTCAGAAAAACATCTATTTCTGTTTTATTGACTATTCTAAAGCCTTTGACTGTGTGGATCATAATAATACCTTGTCTCTCTCCTGAGGAATCTGTATAAGGGCCAAGTAGCAACAGTAAGAGCTGACCATGGAACAACAGACTGGTTCAAGATTGGGAAAGCGTACGGCGAAGGCTGCATCCTCTCACCCAACTCTATTCAACTTGTATGCAGAACACATCATGTGATGTGCAGGGTTTGACACATGCAAGGCTGGGGTGAAAATTGCTGGAAGAAACATTAACAACCTCAGATATGCAGATGACACCACTCTGATGGCCGAAAGCGAGGAGGAGCTGAGGAGCCTTCTAATCAAGGTGAAAGAAGAAAGCGCAAAAGCGGGTTGCAGCTAAACGTCAAAAAAACCAAGATTATGGCAACAAGAATGATTGACAACTGGAAATAGAGGGAGAAAAAATGTGGAGGCCGTGACAGACTTTGTATTTCTAGCTGCAAAGATTACTGCAGATGCAGACTGTGGCCAGGAAATCAGGAGACGCTTACTTCTTGGGAGGAGAGCAATGTCCAATCTCGATAAAATAGTGAAGAGTAGAGACATCACGCTGGCAACAAAGATCCTGCATAGTTAAAGCAATGGTATTCCCCATAGTCACCAATGGATGTGAGAGCTGGACCTTAGGGAAGGCTGAGCGAAGGAAGATAGATGCTTTTGAACTGTGGTGTTGGAGGAAAGTTCTGAGAGTGCCTTGGACTGCGAGAAGATCCAACCAGTCCATCCACCAGGAAATAAAGCCCGACTGCTCACTGGAGGGAAGGATACTAGAGACAAAGTTGAAGTACTTTGGCCACATCATGAGGAGACAGCAAAGCCTAGAGAAGACAATTATGCTGGGGAAAGTGGAAGGCAAAAGGAAGAGGGGCCGACCAAGGGCAAGATGGATGGATGGCATCCTTGAAGTGACTGGACTGACCCTGAAGGAGCTGGGGGTGGTGACAGCCGACAGGGAGCTCTGCCGTGGGCTGCTCCATGAGGTCACGAAGAGTCGGAGACGACTGAACGAATGAACAACAACAAATTAGTTAATTTAGCCTCCCCACACTTTAAGGTGGTACCTAATTTTCCTACTTGACAGATGCAATTGTCTTTCGGGTTGCAAAGGTCGACAACAGGCTAAACAATTGGTTGGAAACCCACTCCAACCCGGCTGGCTTCGAACTCATGACCTTTTGGTCAGAGTGATCTTAATGCTGCTGACACTCATCCAGCTGCACCACAATTCCTACAGTTCTCCATCTAATCTAGCTGTGCTCCATAACACACAGCTTACTAGTATAGAGACATATTATAAATAGCAACCAGGCCCTTTTTATATACCAGAATTCAACTGTGAAAACGGTGGAGAAAAACTCTACAAATAACATGACAGTCTCCTTGAGGCAAATCATAAAAGAAGTTAGCAACTCCGTTTATGTCTTCTTCTCAGTTCTCGCTGAATACTCAGTCTACACATTCCGGTCGTGAAAGTTAAGTCTGCTGCCATGGAGCTAATTGCTACCAATGGATAATACGTATTTAAAAAACATTTTTAAGGTTAATTTTAAACGTTGAATGGCTGTTGTGAGGAATTATGCCTTGTTGCACATCCCGCTTATGATTTTCCTCCAGAATAATTACCCCTTCTATTGACAGTTTGCTGAATATTAATGGTAATTATGTCATTTAATGAAATTACAGTTTTCTTAATGCAATTACTATAATCTGAGAGAAATTAAAAGGATGTATTTGACTGCTTTTCCCCCTTCCCTTCCTGGGAAAAGCACAGGCACATGAGGTTGAATGCTAGAGAGGAGACCAAGCTGAATTTGATGCTCTTGAGATGTGGCCTTCTCATAATTCAGGAGTTGAGAACCTTGGGGAGAATTTTCTGAAGCTGAGTTGGGGTTGAGCCACTTAGGAGACTTCTTTATATTGTGAATTAGATTAGGTAGGATTGTTGTATGCTCCCACTAACGCCCCATCTCTCCTACCTTACTCATGCTTAGCATTATTTTTAACTTTAATTGCATTTGGCCCAGCCACATATTTTAATTGTGTGTTGTATTATTGCCATAGTATATTGCTTTTTTATGAGTTTTATTTAATTTAAGCGTACCTGTCCGAACGTATCTCCTTCTATGTCCCACCTCGGAGTTTAAGATCTTCTGGGGAGGCCCTGCTCTTGGCCCCGCCTCTATCACAAGTGAGGCTGGTAGGGACGAGGGACAGGGCCTTCTCAGTGGTGGCCCCTCACCTGTCGAATTCACTCCCCGGGGAAATTAGGTCATCAGCATCCCTCCTCTCCTTCAGAAGGAAGCTGAAAACATGGATATGAGACCAGGCCTTTGGGTAATCTGGCAGACTGACAAGGTAATGACAACCAGAATCTGGCAAGGACTATGGTAATGCTGAATGGACTTACAGATTTTAGAACTCGCTGAACGTTGGCCACTAGATTGGCTTTTAGTTGTTATTGTATTAATTGAATGTTTTAACTATTGTGGTTATTGCTGCTATGTATTTTATCTGTTGAATTGTTGGCATCGAATTGTGCTGGTTGTAAGCCAACCTGAGTCCCCCTTTGGGGGTTGAGAAGGGCGGGGTAGAAATGCCCGAAATAAATGAATAAATAAGTAAGTAAATGCTGTTGTTATTGCTTGTATTGATGTATTGTGGGCTCGGCCTCATGTAAGCCGCACCGAGTCCCTTGGGGAGATGGTAACGGGGTATAAATAAAGTTTAATAATAATAATAATAATAATAATAATAATAATAAATTAATAGGTACCCAGCGATGCTAGAGTTGTAAATATTAGAAGCAGTCATTTTTTTGGGGGGAGGAGGCATTATGCATGTATAGTTCCCATAGAAACCCAGTTTTTAACTTTCAGTAGGCCTTTATAATGCTGTTTTTTTCTTATATATGTCTTATTTCACACAATTTTTCCTCGAATGTACTTTTGATAGGAGCACCACCTTTGCAAAATTCAGAAAAGAGGGGCTGCCAAGGGATAGTCATCAATGTATTAGCTGGGGAAGTGTTAATTAGGTCTCCTCCTACTGACATCTT